TGTTATGGGGCTGGGGAAGGGTTGTGTGGGGCGGTCACCTGCGGGGGACCTCCTGGTCGGCGTATTTGACGGCCACGGTGTAGGGCCCGTCGGTGGCCGGGGTGTAGGTCACCTTGTGGGTCCCGTCGCCGTTGTCACGGACCTCCAGGGGCTCCGGGAGACCTGTGGGGCGGAGGGGACGTCAGTGGGGCGGAGGGGACGTCAGTGGGGCGGAGAGGTTGGGGGGGGAGCAGGGAGGGGGAGAGGATGGCGTGGGGAGGTGTGGGGTAGAGTGCGGTGTGGAGGAGGGGATCCATGGGGTTGGATGGTCTATGGGGCAGAGCAGCCATGGAGGAGGTCACTCTGTGGGGCAGGATGCTCTGTGGGGCAGAGAATCCATGGAAGAGGATGTTCTATGGGGCAGGATGCTCTATGGGGCAGAGCATGCATGGAGGAGGACACTCTATGGGGCAGAGAATCCATGGAGGAGGATACTCTATGGGGCAGGACGCTCTGTGGGGAAGAGAATCCATGGAGGATGATGTTCCATGGGGCAGGATGCTCTGTGGGGCAGAGCATCCATGGAGGACGACACACTATGGGGCAGAGAATCCATGGAGGAGGATGTTCTATGGGGCAGGATGCTCGGTGGGGAAGAGCAGCCATGGAGGAGGATGTTCTATGGGGCAGGATGCTCGGTGGGGAAGAGCAGCCATGGAGGAGGTCACTCTGTGGGGCAGGATGCTCTGTGGGGCAGAGAATCCATGGAAGAGGATGTTCTATGGGGCAGGATGCTCTATGGGGCAGAGCATGCATGGAGGAGGACACTCTATGGGGCAGAGAATCCATGGAGGAGGATACTCTATGGGGCAGGACGCTCTGTGGGGAAGAGAATCCATGGAGGATGATGTTCCATGGGGCAGGATGCTCTGTGGGGCAGAGCATCCATGGAGGACGACACACTATGGGGCAGAGAATCCATGGAGGAGGATGTTCTATGGGGCAGGATGCTCGGTGGGGAAGAGCAGCCATGGAGGAGGATGTTCTATGGGGCAGGATGCTCTATGGGGCAGAGCAGCATGGAGGAGGTCACTCTGTGGGGCTGGACACTCTATGGGGCAGAGCATCCATGAAGGAGGTTGCTCTGTGGGGCAGGATGCTCTACTGGGCAGAGCAGCCATGGAGGAGGTCGCTCTGTGGGGCTGGAAGCTCTATGGGTCAGAGAATCCATGGAGGAGGATGTTCCATGGGGCAGGATGCTCTACAGGGTAGAACATCCATGGAGGAGGATGTTCCATGGGGCAGGATCCTATATGGGGCAGAGCACCCATGGAGGAGGTTGCTCTGTGGGGCAGGATGCTCTACTGGGCAGAGCAGCCATGGAGGAGGTCGCTCTGTGGGGCTGGAAGCTCTATGGGTCAGAGAATCCATGGAGGAGGATGTTCCATGGGGCAGGATGCTCTACAGGGTAGAACATCCATGGAGGAGGATGTTCTATGGGGCAGGATGTTCTATGGGGCAGGGAATCCATGGAGGAGGTCGCTCTATGGGGCAGCACATCCATGGAGGAGGATGTTCCATGGGGCAGGATCCTCTATGGGGCAGAGCACCCATGGAGGAGGTTGCTCTGTGGGGCAGGATGCTCTACTGGGCAGAGCAGCCATGGAGGAGGTCGCTCTGTGGGGCTGGAAGCTCTATGGGTCAGAGAATCCATGGAGGAGGATGTTCCATGGGGCAGGAAATCCATGGAGGAGGATGTTCTATGGGGCAGAGCATCCATGGAGGAGGTCGCTCTGTGGGGCAGGATGCTCAATGGGTCAGAGAATCCATGGAAGACGATGTTCTATGGGGCAGGATGTTCTATGGGTCAGAGAATCCATGGAGGAGGATGTTCTATGGGGCAGGATGCTCTATGGGGCAGGGAATCCATGGAGAAGGATGTTCTATGGGGCAGCACATCCATGGAGGAGGATGTTCTATGGGGCAGAGCATCCATGGAGGAGGTCGCTCTGTGGGGCAGGATGCTCTATAGGGCAGAGAATCCATGGAGGAGGTCACTCTGTGGGGCTGGACACTCTATGGGTCAGAGAATCCATGGAGGAGGATGCTCTATGGGGCAGAGAATCCTTGGAGGAGGTCGCTCTGTGGGGCTGGACACTATGGGTCAGAGAATCCATGGAGAAGGATGTTCTATGGGGCAGGATGCTCTATAGGGCAGAGAATCCATGGAGGAGGTCACTCTGTGGGGCTGGACACTCTATGGGTCAGAGAATCCATGGAGGAGGATGTTCTATGGGGCAGAGCATCCAGGGAGGAGGATGCTCTACGGGGCAGGATGCTCTATGGGGCAGAGCATCCGCCATGGAGGACGACACACTATGGGGCAGAGCATCCATGGAGGAGGATGCTCTACGGGGCAGGATGCTCTATGGGGCAGAGCATCCATGGAGAAGGATGTTTTATGGGGCAGAGCATCCATGGAGGAGGTTACTCTGTGGGGCAGGATGCTCTATGGGTCAGAGCATCCATGGAGGAGGTTGCTCTGTGGGGCAGGATGCTCTATGGGGCAGAACGTCCATGGGGCAGGACATCCATGGAGGAGGGAATCCATGGTTTGGACACCCTATGGAGTAGAGGATCCATGGGGCAGGACACTCTATGGAACAAAGCATCCGTGGGGTGGCCTGAGGAGTAGGGATCCATGGGGCAGGAGACCCCATGGAGGGGACACCCCATGGAAGAGAATACCCAATGGGACCAGACACCCCATAGAGGAGGGCACCCCATGGAAGAGAATATCCCATGGAGGAGGACACCCCATGGAGGACGACACCCCATGGAGGAGGACACCCCATGGAACCAGACACCCCATAGAGGAGAATACCCCATGGAGGAGAACATCCCATGGAGAGGACACCCCACAGAGAAGGACACCCCGGAGGACAGGTTCTCCCCCCACTTCCACCCGCCCCACGGCGCGTCCCCCACCTACCGGAGGGTCCCAGCAGGGTGACCTCCAGTGGGGCCAGCCCCGCGGCGCTGCAGTCCACCGTGAAGGTCTGGGGCACCCGGGCCCTGACGTTGGGGCCCAGCCCCGGCCCCGAACACTTCACCTTGCTGGGGTCCACCACCTCCTGCACCCGCACCCGGAAGGGGCTCCCTGTGGTTGGGGGGCAGAGCGAGGGGTCAGCGCTGGCGGGAGGGACGGGGGCAACGTGGCCGTGGGGTCTACGTGGCCATGGGTCAGTGGCCATGGGGTCAATGTGGCCACAGGGACAGCGGGGCCATAGGGTCTAGGTGGCCGTGAGTTCTAGGGGGCCATTGGGGGCAATATGGCCATGGGGTCTACATAGCCATGGGGTCAATGTGGCCACAGGGACAGCGGGGCCATAGGGTCTAGGTGGCCGTGAGTTCTAGGGGGCCATTGGGGGCAATATGGCCATGGGGTCTACATAGCCATGGGGTCAATGTGGCCACAGGGACAGCGGGGCCATAGGGTCTAGGTGGCCGTGAGTTCTAGGTGGCCATTGGGGTCAATATGGCCATGGGGTCTACATAGCCATGGGGTCAATGTGGACACAGGGACAGGGTGGCCATGTGGTCTACATGGGCATAGGGTCAACGTGGCCATGAGGTCTTCTTGGCCACGGGGTCTACATGGCCATGGGGTCTACATGGCCATGGGGTCAACGTGGCCATGGGGTCTTCTTGGTCATGGGGACTACATGGCCATGGGGTCTACGTGGCCATGGGGTCAATGTGGACACAGGGACAGGGTGGCCATGGGGTCCACATGACCACGGGGACAACATGGGTGTGGGGCCTATGTAGACATTGGGTCAATGTGGCCATGGGGTCTACTTGGCCATGGGGCCAATGTGGCCACAGGGACAGTGTGGCCATGGGGTCTACGTGGCCAGGGGGTCAATGTGGACACAGGGACAGTGTGGCCATGGGGTCTACGTGGCCATGGGGCCACCAAGGCCATGGCCATGGGGCCAGTCCACAGATGGGGTCAGCATGACAATGGGGTCAGCACACGATGGCCGTGGGGCCACCAACCCTATGGAGCCACCAACCCCATGAGGCCACCCCAGCACCGGCCACGGAGCTCAGCACAAACCCCTCCACCAACCAGCCCCCAGGAACCCACCTCCGACCCACGGCCACCCCCCAAGTGTCCCCCCCTCCCTCCTTCCCCACAGCTCACCGGGGATGGGGTGGCCACGGTTCTTCTTGGCCACTAGGTCTACATGGCCATGGGGTCAACGTGGCCATGGGGTCTTCTTGGTCATGGGGACTACATGACCATGGGGTCTACGTGGGTATGGGGTCTACGTGGCCATGGGGTCAACGTGGTCGTGGGGTCTATGTAGGCATTGGGTCAATGTGGCCATGGGGTCTACATGGCCATGGGGCCACCAAGGCTGTGGCCATGGGGCCAGTCCACAGATGGGGTCAACACAGGATGGCCGTGGGGCCACCAACCCTATGGAGCCACCAACCCCATGAGGCCACCCCAGCACCAGCCACGGAGCTCAGCACAAACCCTTCCACCAACCAGCCCCCAGGAACCCACCTCCGACCCACGGCCACCCCCCAAGTGTCGTCCCCCCCCTCCTTCCCCACAGCTCACCGGGGATGGGGTGGCCACCGAAGGTGATGTTGACGTCGTAGTCGCCGGGGGTGAAGGGGATGTACTCCACCGTGCAGCTCCCGTCCTTGTTGTCCTTGCAGGACATCTTGGCCTCCGAGGGCCCCTCGATGGCCAGGCCCAGCCCCCCGGTGCCCGCGCCCCTGGGGACAAGGGACCAATCAGGGACTTGTGGGGGGAGGGGTGGCACCTCCATGGTAGGAGGATGGAGGTGGCATGGGGCTGGAGATGCCACCTCCACGGCAAGAGGATGGAGGTGGCACCTCCATGGTAGAAGGTTGGAGGTGGCACCTCTATGGTAGGAAGATGGAGGTGCCACATTGGTGGTAGGACATGGAACCTCCATGGCAAGAGGATGGGGGTGGCACCTCCATGGTAGGAGGTTGGAGGTGCCATGTTGGTGGCATGGGGCTGGAGATGCCACCTCCATGACAAGAGGATGGAGGTGGCACCTCTATGGTAGGAAGATGGAGGTGCCACATTGGTGGTAGGACATGGAACCTCCATGGCAAGAGGATGGGGGTGGCACCTCCATGGTAGGAGTTTGGAGGTGCCACATTGGTGGTAGGACATGGAACCTCCATGGCAAGAGAACCTTCCATGGTAGGAGGTTGGAGGTGCCACGTTGGTGGCATGGGGCTGGAGATGCCACCTCCATGGTAAGGGGATGGAGATGCCACCTCCATGGTAAGGGGCTGGTGGTGGCAGGGGGCTGGAAGTGCCACCTTCACGGCAAGGGGATGGAGATGCCACATCAGGGGCAGGGGCACAATGAGGCCACATTGATGGCAGGTGGATGGAGGTGACACACCCAATGGAAGAGGATGGAGGTGGCACATCCATGGGAGGGGATGGAGGTGGTGAGATGGTGGCATGGGATGGAGGTGACACACCCAATGGAAGAGGATGGAGGTGGTGAGATGGTGGCATGGGATGGAGGTGGCACATCCAACGGAAGAGGATGGAGGTGGCACATCCATGGGAGGGGATGGAGGTGGTGAGATGGTGACATGGGATGGAGGTGACACACCCAATGGAAGTGGACCCTGGATGCCCACCTGGTCTCCACGGTGAAGCGGTTGGCCTTGCCCACCAGGCCACCCTCCAGGCCGGGCCCGTGGGCCCGCACGCGGCTGGGGTCACAGCCCTCGGCCACCCCCACGCGGAAGGGGCTCTTGGGGACCGCCACGTCGTCGTAGGTCACCTCCACCCGGTGCACGCCTGGGGACACGGGGACAGGCTGTCACCCCCAGCTCCCACCAAGAAGGTGGGACACAGGGGGCTTGGAAGTCCCTGGTTGGGGTTTGAGGAGGTTCTCAAGGAGTTTGGGGGTTCCTTGGTGGGGTCTGGGGGGGCTCTCAGGGGGTTTGGGGGTCCCTGGTTGGGGTTTGAGGAGGTTCTCTGGAGGATTTGGGGGATCTCAGGGGGGTTTTGGGGGGGTCTCATGGGTTTGGGGGTCCCTGGTTGGGGTTTGAGGAGGTTCTCTGGAGGATTTGGGGGATCTCAGGGGGGTTTTGGGGGGGTCTCATGGGTTTGGGGGTCCCTGGTTGGGGTTTGAGGAGGTTCTCTGGAGGATTTGGGGGATCTCAGGGGGGTTTTGGGGGGGTCTCATGGGTTTGGGGGTCCCTGGTTGGGGTTTGAGGAGGTTCTCTGGAGGATTTGGGGGATCTCAGGGGGGTTTTGGGGGGGTCTCATGGGTTTGGGGGTCCCTGGTTGGGGTTTGAGGAGGTTCTCTGGAGGATTTGGGGGATCTCAGGGGGGTTTTGGGGGGGTCTCATGGGTTTGGGGGTCCCTGGTTGGGGTTTGAGGAGGTTCTCTGGAGGATTTGGGGGATCTCAGGGGGGTTTTGGGGGGGTCTCATGGGTTTGGGGGTCCCTGGTTGGGGTTTGAGGAGGTTCTCTGGAGGATTTGGGGGATCTCAGGGGGGTTTTGGGGGGGTCTCATGGGTTTGGGGGTCCCTGGTTGGGGTTTGAGGAGGTTCTCTGGAGGATTTGGGGGATCTCAGGGGGGTTTTGGGGGGGTCTCATGGGTTTGGGGGTCCCTGGTTGGGGTTTGAGGAGGTTCTCTGGAGGATTTGGGGGATCTCAGGGGGGTTTTGGGGGGGTCTCATGGGTTTGGGGGTCCCTGGTTGGGGTTTGAGGAGGTTCTCTGGAGGATTTGGGGGATCTCAGGGGGGTTTTGGGGGGGTCTCATGGGTTTGGGGGTCCCTGGTTGGGGTTTGAGGAGGTTCTCTGGAGGATTTGGGGGATCTCAGGGGGGTTTTGGGGGGGTCTCATGGGTTTGGGGGTCCCTGGTTGGGGTTTGAGGAGGTTCTCTGGAGGATTTGGGGGATCTCAGGGGGGTTTTGGGGGGGTCTCATGGGTTTGGGGGTCCCTGGTTGGGGTTTGAGGAGGTTCTCTGGAGGATTTGGGGGATCTCAGGGGGGTTTTGGGGGGGTCTCATGGGTTTGGGGGTCCCTGGTTGGGGTTTGAGGAGGTTCTCTGGAGGATTTGGGGGATCTCAGGGGGGTTTTGGGGGGGTCTCATGGGTTTGGGGGTCCCTGGTTGGGGTTTGAGGAGGTTCTCTGGAGGATTTGGGGGATCTCAGGGGGGTTTTGGGGGGGTCTCATGGGTTTGGGGGTCCCTGGTTGGGGTTTGAGGAGGTTCTCTGGAGGATTTGGGGGATCTCAGGGGGGTTTTGGGGGGGTCTCATGGGTTTGGGGGTCCCTGGTTGGGGTTTGAGGAGGTTCTCTGGAGGATTTGGGGGATCTCAGGGGGGTTTTGGGGGGGTCTCATGGGTTTGGGGGTCCCTGGTTGGGGTTTGAGGAGGTTCTCTGGAGGATTTGGGGGATCTCAGGGGGGTTTTGGGGGGGTCTCATGGGTTTGGGGGTCCCTGGTTGGGGTTTGAGGAGGTTCTCTGGAGGATTTGGGGGATCTCAGGGGGGTTTTGGGGGGGTCTCATGGGTTTGGGGGTCCCTGGTTGGGGTTTGAGGAGGTTCTCTGGAGGATTTGGGGGATCTCAGGGGGGTTTTGGGGGGGTCTCATGGGTTTGGGGGTCCCTGGTTGGGGTTTGAGGAGGTTCTCTGGAGGATTTGGGGGATCTCAGGGGGGTTTTGGGGGGGTCTCATGGGTTTGGGGGTCCCTGGTTGGGGTTTGAGGAGGTTCTCTGGAGGATTTGGGGGATCTCAGGGGGGTTTTGGGGGGGTCTCATGGGTTTGGGGGTCCCTGGTTGGGGTTTGAGGAGGTTCTCTGGAGGATTTGGGGGATCTCAGGGGGGTTTTGGGGGGGTCTCATGGGTTTGGGGGTCCCTGGTTGGGGTTTGAGGAGGTTCTCTGGAGGATTTGGGGGATCTCAGGGGGGTTTTGGGGGGGTCTCATGGGCACCCCCAAGCCCACCCGTTGGGGGTCTTCAGCCCATGGAGATACCCACAGTGATGCCCATGGAGATACTCATGGTGGTATCCATGGGGAGAAGATGCCCATGAGGAGAAGATGCCCACAGGGACGGGATGCCCATGGAGGTACCCATGAAGATACCCATGGTGATGGCCAGGAAGATACCCATGGTGATGCCCACAGGGACGGGATGCCCGTGGAGATGTCCATGGAGATACCCACAGAGATGGGATGCCCATGGAGATGTCCATGGGGAGAAGATGCCCACAGGGATGGGATGACCATGAAGATACCCACGGTGATGCCCATGGAGATGCCCATTGAGATACCCACAGGGATGGGATGCCCATGGAGATACCCATGAAGATACCCATGGTGATGGCCAGGAAGATACCCATGGTGATGCCCACAGGGACGGGATGCCCGTGGAGATGTCCATGGAGATACCCACAGAGATGGGATGCCCATGGAGATGTCCATGGGGAGAAGATGCCCACAGGGATGGGATGACCATGAAGATACCCACGGTGATGCCCATGGAGATGCCCATTGAGATACCCACAGGGATGGGATGCCCATGGAGATACCCAGGGTGGTGTCCATGGGGGAGAAGATGCCCATGGTGATGTCCACAGGGACAAGACACCCATGGAGGTGCCTGCGGTGATGCCCACAGGGATGGGATGCCCATGGAGATACCCATGAAGATACCCATGGTGATGGCCAGGAAGATACCCATGGTGATGCCCACAGAGATGGGATGCCCATGGAGATGTCCATGGTGGTGTCTATGGGGAGAAGATGCCCACAGGGATGGGATGCCCATGGAGATACCCATGGTGGTGTCCATGGGGAGAAGATGCCCACAGGGATGATATGACCATGGAGATGTCCATGGAGATACCCACAGGGACGAGATGCCCATGGAGATACCCACAGTGATGCCCATGGAGGTACCCATGGTGGTCTCCATGGGGAGAAGATGCACACAGGGATGAGGTGCCCATGGAGATACCCACAGTGATGCCCATGGAGATACCCATAGTGGTATCTATGGGGAGAAGATGCCCACAGGGACGGGATGCCCATGGAAGTACCCATGAAGATACCCATGGTGATGCCCACGGTGATGCCCACAGGGACAGGATGCCCATGGAGATACCCACAGATATGGGATGCCCATGGAGATGCCCATGGGGAGGAGATGCCCACAGGGACGATATGACCATGGAGATGTCCATGGATATGTCCATGGAGATAAGATGCCCATGGTGGTGTCCATGGGGAGAAGATGCCCACAGGGACGGGATGCCCATGGAGATACCCATGATGGTATCCATGGGGAGACGATACCCATGAGGAAAAGATACCCATGGTGGTGTCCACAGTGGAGAATACACCCATAGAGATGCCCAGGTGATGCCCACAGCCAGGAGACCCCCAACCACCTCCCCCAGGCTCCTCACCTCGAGGTTCCACTCCTTTCCCGTAGACCTTGACCCCGCTGGTGTCCACGGCCGGGTCGACGGTGACGCGGAGCGGGAAGTTGGGGACGGGGTGACCACCATATTTGACGGTGATGGTGTAAGAACCGGGGGAGGCCGGGGTGTAGGTGATGCTGTAGGTCCCGTCCCGGTTGTTATGGATGAAGACCTCGGCTTTCACCCCACCTTCCGAGATGATCTCGATGGTCAACTCTGCTTCTCCAGCTTTGGAACAGTCTACCAAGAAGGTGGCCACCTCCCCGGCTTTGCCTTTCTCCAACCCGGGCCCCGTGGCCGTCACTTTGGTGGGATCGAAGACGGGGGCTACCAAAGCCTTGAAGGGGCTACCGGGGATGTGACGGTCGGCGAAGAGGATGTTGATGGAGTAGTCCCCCGGTTCGGTGGGGAGGTAGGAGACGGAGCAGGACCCGTCCCCGTTGTCCTGACACTCGATCTTGGCCTCGCAGGGACCTTCCACCGTCAGCCCCAACCCCCCCGTCCCTGCCCCTTTGGTGTCGATGGTGAAAGGGGCCGGGGTCCCCACCACACCCCCCTGTAGGCCCGGCCCGTAGGCGGACACCTGGATGGGGAGAGGGAGATGGGGGTCAGTGTTGGGGTGATATATGGGGGTCCGGGGGGAGTTGTGGGGTGGAAAGGGGGGGGGGATA